TTTTAAAGGAAAATTGGGTCCATGCCAGACCGGCGTAACCATCTTGTGTCAAAAAGTGCTTCTCCAAAGTTTGGCTTCGGAAAAGTAAGTGTATACAATCCTCTAAACCGTCCCGGTGTCGTTGTTTAGGTTAGTGTACGGACATATTGCATTGGTACTATTTTAACTCAGTGATAATGACTCAACTGTCGTAATAAACTTTGGTATAGGTGGTACCAAGGTGCTAGATGCATAGGCCCGTTCTAAACTGCTTGAAATCTAACGACACGCATCCTAACCTAACCTCTAGCTAGACTGTCGCTTATCTTCTGCTTTGTTTAAGGACGGCGCTACGCCACGCCCCCTGCTCAGTTCTACCTTATTTTTGTTTCTCTTATTGGGCAACTTCCTCATAATACAGCATTAGAAGTTAAATGATAAATAAAATTGCTAGGAGGACTAAAGAAAAATTGTCTTGAATCAGGCGAGCTGTCGTATAGTGTATTTCGACTAACGGAGGAAGAAGAATAGCGGGTAGAACATAAAAGTTCCTGATTGGCCGAGTGCCTACCCCTTCTACCGACGTTACGTAGAGGCGGGAAGCTCTCGACCAATCGGTAACGTTCATGTTCTACCCGCTGTTCTTCTTCCTCCGTTAGTCGAAATACACTATACACTCACCCCTCCCTTATTTCGCCTCGCAGGCGCAGGTGCTCAGTCAAGACTAGGGGGACGAGTCTAGGAGGAGCAGAGCCGAAGGGCACGCGAGCCCCCCTCGGCCAGACAGGCGCTTGTTTACCACCTGTCGCACGGGAAGCTCCAGCCCTCCCCCTCCCCACCCCCACCCCCGCCCCACCCCCTGGCAGGCTGTACTTTTTCATCGCACCATTCCGCTATAAGCAGTGCAGTGTCGGTGCCATTTCCCTAATGGAGGCAGCTTTGAGCGGCTCTGAACGGCTCAACGCGGCGGTCGCGGCAGCGGCGCTCGAGGCCAAGGCTACTCAGACGCGCGGGCGGGGCGGCGGGGAGGTGGTGACTACGAGCAGGGACAAAACGGCGGCCTCGGTTTGTGACGGCCACGCTAGATCCACGGCGTGACGATAAGCGACAACGGCGGGAAATATATCGCAGCACTGTCTCAGTATACCTCGAAGGAACACGACGAGGTATCAAAGTCTTTTCTCGCGGGTCTGCCAAAAAGGCGACGGTGGCGGAGATCGTCTCTGGTGTGGGGATTGTGTGGGATATATGGAAAAAGGGGGTGGCGGGTGGGGGGTGGGAGGCGTGGAAGGCCTGGCCCCTGGCCTCTTTGATGTCGTGTCCTGTAATGCGATCAGACGAGCTGTGAATGGCGGCCAACGCGAGCTCTGCTGACTGAGCTGTGCGCTAAAGTGCGGAGCGGCGGAGTGGGGCGGAGAGAGGGCGCCAGAGAGATAGTGTGTGTGAGAGAGAGAAAGAATAGGGTGTGTGCGAGGGATGCCGTGAGACGTGTCATGGGGTAGACGTCTCGAACGCAACCACGCCCCGCCCCCGCCGAGCCCGCTCCCTACTCTCGCGCTCGAGACAGTCGTGATATGACGGGAGCGGCTGACGGGTGCCCTGCCCTGACCCCCCGGGGGGGCCCTCACCCCGCCCCACCCCGCCCCGCCCAGGCCCTCCTCAAGGGTTAGCACGGACTGCCGCCGCGGGGGGTTGGCTGGCCTGCGACATAAAACCACAACATGTGCCGGCGGCGGGGTTGCGCTACTGCTGCTGCTGCAGCCACGCTGCTGCCACCCGCACTAAAACGCCCCCGGCTACCCCTCCTACCTCCAGAGCCGCTTGGTCCAAAGCCCCCTCCACCCCACTACCCAACTCTCCCGCCCCGACTCCTCCCCGGCCGGCCCCTCATCACGGTATAATTTCCCCTCGAAGAGAGAAAGACAGCGGGATTACACAGTAAATTAAACTATCGATCCCGGAGGCCTCCGGGTCCCTGCGCGGGTGCCTCCGGGCGAGGGCCTCTCGGCCTCTGTAGAGGCGGCGGGCGAGACTCTCAGAAGGGGGTTTTATTTGCTCTAAAGTAAAGTTTGGGCGCCGGAACGTGCTGTTGTTGCTGTTGTTCTTGTTCTCGTTTCTCTAGGGTCATTTATCAGAGCGAGGTGCGGCGGCGTCGTTCCTCTGTTTGAAAACTAACACCAAACACTTTCGAAGTTAGACTCTACCGCGGCACTCCACTCCTCCTGCGGGCGGTCTCCCTACTCGCAGAGCGCCATGGTCAGAGAGTGCGGTTCGAGACTCTCCAAGTCAGAGCCAGGCTCGCGCCGTGTCGAGTCTCCCCCTTTCCTCTGCTGGATTTCCATATTCGCTCCAGTTTCTTCCCCTCCATTTCACGTTGTACCTACCTGGGTGAGCTGGAAGAAGGCGAGCTGTATGAGGCAGAAGGCCGATGTGAGGCAAGGGAAAGCCAAGTCCCAGAGCAGCGCCCCAAGGATGCGCGGCATCAACTGAAAAAAAAAACAGCGGCGAAATTCTCATCTCCCTCCACTTTCTACGCCCTTTCATAAGAAAATAAGAAAAAGGAACGCCTGCCAACAGAGATGCTCCTTTTTCTTGAGCTCACCTGTCTGAGGTTGTACGGGTCCAGCATCAGGTAGGCCGCGCGTGACGCGCCCAGCAGGCACAGGAACACGTTGATGGAGGTCATGAACGGCCGGCTCGAGATGAGCGTCCTACAAAATAAAAATAATAAAATAGAGAACCTAACCAGGTTGAGCCAACGCTTTCCAGCATACGGCGGCACAGCAGTACTCCTCACCTGAGGTTGATGAGCGAGAAGAAGGTGTAGGTGGCCAGGACGCCGAACAGGCAGGCGATGCCGTACACGTGCAGCATGAAGGCCAGCTTCATGTTGGCCAAGAGCGTCTCCAGGGCGGGCGCCACGGCCAGGGCCACGGGATGCCCCAGCCTCGGTCTGGAGCACTCCCAGCCGCCGCCCTTGCCGTCCGCGGCGGCCTGCGTCGCTGCGGATCGCGCGGTCAAGGATGAGCGACAGGCACGCGACTTCCACACTGGGGGGCTTCTCGAGAACCACTTGGAGAACGTGAACGGGAACGGGAACGCGGCGGAGAAGAGAACGAACTGGTGAACGCGCCACAAGAGCTACTGGAGAACGTTCGTTCCCCGCGGCCGTTCCTTCACGCGTTCACGGCACTAGTCGTTCTCTCACTTGGTTCCCGAGAACCCCCCCTGAAGACAGTCTTACAAACTAACCGCACAAAGGGAGCGGCGCGGTCCTACGCCTCCCTGATCCCACAGACTCCGACCGTAAGCTCAAGCCGGTGCTCGGAGTGTAAGCGTTGTGAGGGCACGTCGCGGTCAGGGGAACAAAAAGTCCCCCCCGCCTCGCCCGCGGGATGTCGAAGTAGTCCAAACAACCAGCCCGCCCCCTAGCTCACAACCTGCTTTGGGCGGCCCCGGCTCTCAGCTCGCGGCCGCCACGCCACCTCATACTGTATGCGCTTCTTCCTGTAATTACGCCAAGTTTGCCGCGGCTAAGAGCCTTGAACTTCCAGGAGAGTAGAGGGTGGGCAGAGCGGCGCCGGCACGTGTGTGCCGCTGAAGGGTGGAGGGGTCCCGTGTCTCACGCGGAAACGAGGCGGGCGCCTCTTTTATAAAAAATAAAATATAAAAGAGGATTTACCATCGCGTCATGCTCCTTTTCGTTAAAAGCGCAAACGAGATAGCGTCAGGTGGCGTGTGTGTCTGTGTCCTATTGAACACGTGTGACCGAAAGGGAAAAAAAAGGGAGAAGAAAAGAACAAGTTTTATTTTCCCATCGTTTTGCGTGTGCGACGCAACTGAAAGAAAACAAGAGAAGGCCGAGCGCGCGATTGGGGGTTGTGGAGTGTTTGGACAGAGGCAAAAGGAGAGCGGGCGAAAAGTGCTGCTGCTGCCCTTCAGCGGAACCTTTACACGTTGTCCACCTCCCAGCTATAAATAGAGAAAGGCTTTGTGCGACCGAGGCGGGATGGTTAAGGGTTGTGTTGGCAGTGTAAGCGGGCTACGTTAGTGACGAGGGAAAGAAAAGAGAGGGAGGGGGGGGGGCGGGGCTCTATCCAAGGTGAAAGCTTCTTACCTCACCGATATAACGATATGGACTCTTAAGCGACGCCAGGTGGGTGGTGGTGCTTAAGTGCGGAGGATCGGACAAAAAAAGAGAGAGGGAGGGGTGTGGAGGGGAAAAACAGCGTGCACTGAGCGTTGAAAGAAAACTGTTCCCGACGTGAGTGTACTGTACCAACCCGTACCAGGGCTGACGCAGCCTGGGCCAGGATCCCGCTGGGAGGGCCGCAAGCAGGTGATGGACACCACCAGGGAGGGGCCGGGCGGGGCCCGGTCCAGGGCAGGCCAAGGGCAGGCCAGGGCGGCGGCCAAGCGGGGCGTAACCAAATAGGGGCGGCGCGCCGCGCGCCGCGGGGGAGCCCGCAGAGGCTGCCCGAGGCCGCCCGAGGGTGGCGAGAGGCTGCCGGACCTGCCGCACTGCCCTGGCCGCAATGAGAGAGTCCCGTGCTAGTTGTTGGCAATTTGCTCAGGTTGTTTGCCGTTGTGTTGCGGCCGCCGACCGCGGTGTTGCCGGCTGCGTGAGAAACTTGGGCCGCGCCGCTATCGCACACGCCCCCGACTCCCCGTGCTGACTCCGACATTCGGAGGCGGCCCCCGCCGCTCCCCGAGGAGTGACCCGGGAGCCAGGCGGTGGTAGGAGTGGGGCAGGGCAGAAGCTATACTACCAGAGCCGCGAGAATCGCTCTACCGTGACAGTGCTTTGCAAACAACGAGATCGACGTCGCCCGCGCCGTCTCTCTCTCTCTCTATTTTGCAGTCTGCGCCGAGCTCAAACGTGAGCGCGTCGAGGAGTGTTGGCTGATATCCTTACCGTTCAGCCAGTCGAAGAGGTCCGAGGCGTTGGCGACGCCGCCCGCCTCGGGCGCGGGCGCCATCCTCGAGCGCGTCCTGCAACAAAACGAAAAGGGGGGTGTCAGAGGCCGTGTGAAAAATGGGCTCGTGAGCAGCCCGTCGCATGAGTGTGTTGTGTGTGGGGCGGCACTGACCGGCGGCCGTCCCGCCGAGGTGACAAACGATCAGGCCCGCCGCTGATGTTGAGGCTCACTCGCCGTCTATCTCCATTGAGTACATGTATGTCCGGTTCTCTAAATGTTCGTGAAAGGAACGTTGAAAACGGGGGCGAAAGATACAGCCAGAAATATATCAAAGGGATAGTGTATTTCGACTAACGGGGGAAAAAGAGTAGCGGGTAGAACATAAAGGTTCCTGATTGGCCGAGCGCTTACCCCCATTACTGGCGTGACGTAGAGGCGGGAAGTTCTCGACTAATCGGTAACGTTTATGTTCTACCCGCTCTTCTTCTTCCTCCGTTAGTCGAAATACACTATGTGTACCAGCTCCGCACCCCTGCTTCAGCTTGCCCGTTCCGAACGTATTCACGCATATAGACCGCCGCGCCGCTCCATGGTGTAGAGAGATCTCTCTCCACCGTGACCCCGCACCCTGCTCCTCCCACGCGCCCCTGGCTGGCGCCCCTGGTGGCCCCGCTCATGGAGCCGTTCGTCACATAAAGCGGGCGGGTGAATGAGGAAGGACGGCGGTGGCGGCGGCTGGAAAAGCGTCGGAAAACTCTGTTACAAGAAGAGGGAAGGTGGAAAAGAGCCAGGGCACGACAGTAACAATGGACGGGGGAAGCCGGAAAAACCTCATATGAATAAATTGGCGCGATGTCTATTATTGATTGTTCCGCAAGGGCGAGGTTGTTGTGTGTGCTTTGGGGGTGGGGGGTGGGTGTATATGGTCCATGAGCAGCAGCCTAGCCTGCCTCATGGCTGGCCTATTGTTTGAGTTGCCATATACCGTTCCGCGGCCGCACTGCAGGCCATGACAATGCGTAGTACGATGCATAAAATATCAGACCGCCTGCCCCCGTTTACCTGCCATATACTTTTCCCCCCAACCGCGGCCCGATTCTCGGGCGCTGTGCGCGCGAACCTTGTGCGAACAGAGGAAATAATAAAAAAATGGCGTACGCTCGACCCACACAAAGACCCACAAAGACTCAATGGAAGAGGCGGAAGATGGAAGGGGAGACAAGGGGTCGAGCGGAGCCGTGGTGGGGCTAATGAAGGGGCACGCCAGGAACAATGCGAAGCGGGCAGGGCGGGCAGGGCGAGCGCAGCCTACTGTACTACATCCCGGGGACGGCAAAATGCCACCGCTGCTGAGAGCGGCTACTAGAATGCGTCTGGAAAGCGTCTGGAAGCGGCTAGCCGCTAGAATCGGCTGGAAGCGTATCTGCGGAAGCGTCTATGGAAGCATTGCGAACGGACGTGCCATTGTTCTATACGCGGCCTCGCGAGAGTCTAGCGGAAGCAAGCCCCCCCC